CCCACCACAGGGCAGGCTGGTCTCTGCGGCCCCAAGGTCCTGCCAGTGCCCACGTGAGGCTGACACACCCGGCCTAGGAGCACCGGCCCCTGCACACGCCCCTCAAGTCCTTGTGGCTTTCTCGAGGTCACCTTGGCTATCTACGGAAGCTGCAATGCTGCCTCGCCCACCGCTGTCCGTCCCCTCCCGACACGGTCACTTGTCCAGGGTGCAGACGGATCCCTCTCAGCCCCCCTGCATGCAGCTTCTATAGATGTTCATGGACCGGCTAGGTGCTGGCACAGGGCCTGGTAGGCCATCGTCACCAAGAACGCACTGTGTCACCGAGGGGCGAGGAGACGCTGGACAACCTGACAGGCCAGTGCCTCGACGGCAGATGCCTGAGGCCCTCGCCGCGGCCCCTGGCGCTGTCCGCAGGCTGCTCCCAGGGCAGCACGCAGGCCCGGCCGCGACACGGCTGGCCTGTGCTAAGCGGAGGGCTGCCAGGGAAGCGGGAGCCGCACTCGTGGGGTCTACCCAGGATGGCCACGCGGCGCACAGGCGTCACCTGCGACTGTTTCGCGGGACGGCCTCTTCTTCACCGGGCAAGCCAAAGTCAGCAACTGCCAGTAGCCGGTCAACCTGAGAAGGAAGAGAGAGTGACTCAGCCATGCTTCTCGGCGCCGGCGCCACAGCCGCGCCCGCGGCACAGCCGGCCTCGCGCATGCGCGTCCGGGACCCTGTGCTGGCGCCTCCGCAAGCCTCCCTATGGCACTGCACGTCATCCCTCTCCGTGACGCTGACCAAACGCCAGAGCGTCCCACAATCTGCGTTCAAACACGTTATTTTAACAACCACATTTTCTCTGATAATGAAGTTTTCTTAAAAAGCTACATTTAAAACTTAAAAATGACTCAAATTAAGGGGGGAAAAACTCAGATATTAATTGAATTAAATAACTAACCTTTACTGGTTTATCAAATGCTTCAGTTTTACCACGGAATTTGTGTTTTGGAAAAAAAGCCCGCAGTGCGGCACTGTAAAGTCACGGTCAGGGGTGTCATCAAGTCAGCCCGAGGTGGTGGAGGGGCCTAACCCGCAGGGCGCCCGCGATGCTGCCACCCCGAGGACCTTGGCCCAGAGGGCCCTGCTCCCTACACACCGGGCTGCGGGCGCCCTCACCGGCCTGCTCTGCCTGCCTCACAGCAGTGACCGCTCCAGGTCCGCCCAAGAGAGACGCCATTCTGCGGTGTATGGCACTGTCACCCACAGTGCACCCAAAAAATCACAGACGCGAAAAGCAGAACCAGGAAAAAGTCGTGCACAGGGAATACGAGAAACAGGACTGACGACGTTACGGAACAAGGAAACTGCGCTTCTCCAAAGTTAACACTGGGAGCAAAGATTCACGACACACGCTTCCGACAAGGGACCTAGAGTGGACACACAAGGAGCCTGCGCACCTTGGCAAACAGCAGAAACAACACTGGGCAGGACCTCAGAGAAGACGGAACGGCCGACAGGCACGTGAGAAGACAGCCGGCGTCGCAGGCACGGAGGACACACACACCACCAGACGCGCCCGCCCCAGGCGGGAGGGCGCCGCCCCTGGCTCCAGCCCTGGCAGCGGCAAGGTGGCCTCATTGTTTCCTGAGAGAGACACACCTGCCACCCCTCGGTCTGACCTTAAGGAAGCAAAACATCCTTTACAAAAAGATTCTACACACAGCAGCTTTACTCACAACAGCCTAAGTCCAGAAAAAAAGACACACGGCCATCGGCAGGTGAGGCATAAATGAGCTGCAGTGTGTTCGTGCGATGATCACCCCTCACCGAGCAACACGAACTACGTACACGAGACGCGGACGGGGCTCCCGACCCCGCTGAGCCAGCAGCCAGAGGCAGCGGGCGACACCCCGTCCGACTTAGGCTGTTGTGAGTAAAGCTGCTGTGTGTAGCCAGCAGCCAGAGGCAGCGGGCGACACCCCGTCTGTCTCTGGTTACGTGGAATTCTGGAGATCTAACCTGGGAGACTGATCCACAGCGCAAAAGAAGGTGGGTGGTCGGAGAGGTAACAGCCAGGTGAGTGGGGTGGCAGTCACACGAAGGTATGACTTGGTCCCATCCGATCATATGCAAACTATGCATCAACAGAGCTTATTTTAGAAGTGTTAACACAGAACTAAATGCAACCTCAAACATACCGGAACCTCTCTGCGGGTTCACGTTCATTTTCCTAATGACAGTGACGCCAAGACCCCTGCCTGGGTTACGGGCACAACATCGACACTGCTAGACATTCCCCGGGGTTTAATTACGACAGGGCTCACTACGTCTCCTCTCCCAGATGCCTAGATGTGACCTGAAGGCCATCCTGAGAATGCGAAGCAAGCTGAGGAAGCTGCTGATGGCTGTGGCCCCTGGCGACCACCTGCGAGTTTTCAGTACAGAGCGACCAGCGCATGACACAAGTTCCACCCAGAACCCCCAGTTTTAACGTTTGTGACTGTCACTGGCTGACTTCAAACCTATTCCAAATGTACGTGTTTGAAAAACACTGCACTGACTTACGCAAGAGAAAGCGGGTAATGACCGTGCCCTCTGGTCCAGCCTTGCCTTCCTAGCTAGTGAGACAGGCTTCGTGACAATGAGCTGAGGCCCGACCTTCCCTTTGTCTCTGGCTCAACAGCTGAGCTCTGGGTGCACATGGGGCCCACCATGACCACGTGGCATGTGGTCTGACCATTGACCTTTTCCTCTGGGTACACGTGGGACATGGTGAGACAGACATCAGACAAGCCTGAGGCAGCCCCCGACACAAATACCTAGTCACACAGTCTCTGGAGAAAGGACCTCTCCAGAAACACCTGAGCATCTCATGCACCGCCCTCTTTCCAGTGACTGTTCCTGGAAAGGAGCCCGCAGAGCCAGGAAGGGCCATGGTGGCTACTCATGCTACCTCCCCAGGGAGGGACAGGTCAGGCGAGTGAGCAGGAGCTCAGCCTCCAGGAGAGACGGGAGCCTCCCTACGCCATCCTGCGTGCAGGTGAGCCCTCACGGCCCCAGCCCTGCTGGACTCTGAAGGAGGCCTGTAACTTCACCTAGTTCCCTTCTCTGCCAAGGTTATTATTTGTATGATGTTTTCAGTATCGCTCGTATAATGAAAAACAAAAGACAAACATGTCCAATTAGATATTTTACCGCTGTGGACCTAATTACTTCGTTCTACAATGAATAACAGCTGTCTAATTATGATATAGTAAACGCTACTTCCTGGCTTTTTGATAAAACTTTTTAAAAGTATAACATATCTTAAAAACCACCAGATAACCACCACCCAGATAAAATTTGTGACTATATTTATAGACTTTAACTTTTATAATTAACCTATATCTAAAGCAAGGAAAATATTGGAAAAGTCATAGTTACAGGACAGAATGTAAACCTTGTGAGCTTGATGGTGTAAAATAACCACAGATGGACTGGAATCTAGGGAGCTGAGGGTGGGCAAGCTAGTGAGACAGGCTTCGTGACAATGAGCTGAGGGTGGGCGAGCAAGGGGCGGCTCTGCCTGCCTCCCATCCGTGAACCGAGAAGCAGAGATTTGCTTTACTAGCTGCTGTCACAGGGGTAGGTGTTAAAGAAGATTAAAGGCAGAAAGCAAGCCTGCCTCCAGTGACCTGGGCTGGGAATGGGCACGGGAGCCTTCCTTTCTATTTGTACTCTTTGAGGTGTCACTTTTTTAAACTGTACGCATTATCTTTTTAGAAATCTCACTCACATAAAAGTTTACGTTACCATTCCCTAAAGGCCTCACCTCGGCAAGAGCTGCAGCTTCTTTGTCCTGCACAAACACAATCGGTGGCACATTCCTCAGAATCTGCTGGGACATCAAAAGATGCCTGGAGAGAGACAAAGCAGGCTTATGCCATGGTGGGTAACGTTTGCTGGAGAGGCACGGCAGTGCCAAAACAAAACGTATGATAATCTCATGAAAACATAAGAAATAAGATTTGCTTATCACATTATTCAAAGGTGAAAACATCAGCCCACAAGTCTTCGTTGGCCAACTGCGCATTACAAAAAGGATAAGAAATGCATCACTACAGTTGTTTTTAATTCTCTAAATGCAACTTTTGAGATTCCAGTAAGTATTCTGATCTGCACTTATCAACATCCTCCTGGGCATCACTGTGGCCTTGGACCCACAGCTGGGCAATAATGACCTGTCAGTGAGCCGTCCTCCACTCAATGGACATGCACTGGCAACATTGCCACCCAAGTATGACGGTCCCCAACCCCTGTGACAGCAGACCGGGAAGTGATGTCTGCACTACGCAGTCAGGTGAATCTGGGTGCAAGCACAGAGTGAAAATGTGGCTGTGACACAGAGCACATCTGTCAGTGATAGATCTTGGGACACACTTACGGGAAAACCGATACTAAACCCTGGGTGATCAGAAGGGTTGGGAACAGGGACATTCTATTTAACTGAATTTTATAACTACCTAAAATTAATCAGAAAACAATACTGTTATCTCGACACTTACGGGAAACCTCTCATTTTTAAATTTCTGTTAAATGCAAAAAATGAAATCAACTGATAATTCTTTCACGCACAAGTTTACAGACTCCTGGGAACAACTGCAATGGACATCGGTGACCACAAGGCAGGACGGCTAAGTAGACGGTGTGACGACACCAGTGCATGAATGACTCTGCGTATGACCCTGACTTCCCAACACCCGGCCACGCCCACAGCAACGAAGGGCAATGCAGGGGATGCCAAGAGGGACGGAGAGAAAGCAGGGGGGCAGGAAGGACGGGTTCCAAGCCTGAGCGTGCGGGGTGGTTGGGTCTCTGCGTTCAAGTCTGAGGAGACCCTGAGTAACTACTATCACCCAGCTCAGTTCTCAAAATCTTAGGACCCCTTTACACTCAAAAAATTACTGAGGACCCCCAAAGAGCTTTTGTTTATGTGAGTTATAGCCATAAATATTTGCCATATTAGAAATTCAAACTAAGTATTTTAAAAATACGTATTTATTAATTCATTTAAAGTAAACCCACCAAACGTTCAGACATTTTTAATGCAAAATAACTACTTCCAACAATGTTTTTGGAAAAGCGGGGCAGTGTTTACACAGCTGCAAATTTCTTTCATGCCCAGCTTAATGGCAGACAGCTGAACTGCCATGTCTGCATCTGCGTTCACTCTGCTCTGATGTTATTTTGGTTGAAATATAAGTCTGGCCTCACACAGTTCTCTAACTGCAAAATGGAGAATACAAACACCCTTCAAAGAGTGTGGCTCTTCTTGATGCTACACGAACACGCAACACATGGTCGTTTTCAGGGTTGGTCGCGATGTGGGCCCTGACGGCAGGTCGCTGGGCACAGACCACCTGCTCTCGCACTCTGCACTGTTCTCGGCACGTGACCGCAACCTCGCACACCGGTCACCCGGGAAGACCGGTTCCCCAGGCCGTGCGCACTGCAGAAGGTCGACACGTTCACCAGACCGCATCGCACTGTCTGGGTCGCCACCGATCTCGTGGAGTCTGTCAGTACTGGAAAGCTGTCAAACGCACAGTGGTGGATACTAGTTGTCTAAAATTCTGATCTTCACTTGAAAGCTTGACTTTTATCACAGGCAACAAGTGGTCCGTTGTTTTCCCTGTGACAGGTTCACTTGGTCGTTTGCAGAAAACGTCTGTCAAGTACCCACATCTGAAAAACTAGTTTGTTCACTTGCTCCAAGAGAAAAAGTGACTGTGGGACAGCTTGACCCTCGAAACCCCGAGAAAGACCCAGAGCCCCCATTCTGAGACTCGCTGACCTACTTATGGCTTAAATGAAAATGTCAATGACACTCTTTAGTCCAAGAAAACGCTGCCAAAGTTTTCCGGGAAAGGGAAAGCGCGCGGGAGCGGCGGCGCAGCCTCACCTCATCTGCGCGGCGCTCCTCCGCAGCGCGGCCCCGGCGCGCGCGTCCCGCTCCGCCCGCGGCGTGGCCTTCCAGTACACTCGGCAGGCGGAGAAGTCCGCCGTCAGGGACACCTGGGCCCGCCCCGAACCACCGTCAGCTTGCTCGCGAGACAAGCGCCCGGGCGGCCGTCCCCAGCGGAGCGCGGGTGCCCGGCACGCACTGCCACAGGCCACCGCCTCCCCGTGCTCTCCAGCAGAAGCGGGGCAGGGACGCCCAGACCTCACCCGGCCCAGCACCCCCAGGAGACCCTGCACGGCCGCCTGCTCGCCCCCTCCCTTCCCTCCCGCTGAACCCGCGCTGAGTGGACAGACGGCAGGAAGCCGCCTCCCTTAGCTGTCCACCAAGGGGCAGAGGCGGCCCCTGCTCGCCCAACCCGGGTCTCCCAACGCTGCGCCGCTCACGCGCGGCAGAAGCACGTGCTTGCACACCGCGCACGCGCAGACAGCCGCATTCCTTCGCTTCGGCCGCGCCGGGCCTCTCTGCGAGCTGGCGGGCCCGGCCGTGTACCTTGGACAGCTCCACGTTCAAGTCGCAGAGCTCCTGGCTCACTTCCGGGGTGCACAGCAAGTCGGTCAGCGCTTTGTGGAGGAGGCCGTTCAGGGCCCTCAGCCGCACGCTGTCTTCCTTCCTGGTCTTCTGCGAGGTGCTCTTAGTCAGAGACTCCAGCTGGGACGGCTTGTAAGTCTCGGGACAGGACAGACACACAGCCGGCATTAGACTGTACTGACTTACAGAAGGGGCAGCTGGCAAGAACCTGAACGCCTTGGTAAACAAGGGACAACTGTCACGGCACAGTGTATTTTACAGAGCTGGACCCTTCTGGATCTTATCTAGGTTGAAAGTACTGCCATTATAATGTTTCCCCCAACACGAATTGAAATATAAGCCACATATCATAAAACCCTCCCACTTAAAATGTACAATTCAGTGGCTTTTAATATATAGTACATTTTTTTCTAATTAGAGCCAATCGTTACATAAACTTTTACAGTATATTTATACACGTGTGTTTTAAACACACACACACTAAAAACTGAATGGACATGATCTTCTTAGAATTTGATAACAATATGACATTCTGAAAAACTTTAGTGCAATTTTTTTAAGGTCAAAATTCCATGTTACCAGCGCATCTAGTCCACTGCTACAGACCCCATCCCCTCCAGCACAGAAATGAGAGGGGCTGCCAGGCTGGAACTTGGCCGACTTGGGCAGCCTTGTGCCCACCAAGGTTTCAAAGTGGCTCATCACCACCCCTCTGTACTTACCAAGTGAGGGCCCAAGGAAGGACCTTCATACCAGAATTTTTTTCTATGGGGAGAAAATAAGAACTGTGTTGGATATTGATAGCAAATTACAGAAGAAAAAAATTACATAAGTTAAGGCGGGCTTCCAGTACCACAACTGTTTCTAAGGGGCTGAACTTGGACACAGAAATCGTGAGACTGGGAATCCAAGATATTTAGATATCTAACTGACAACATGGTTGTGAGGGAGAGACAAAAATTATGCGCTCTCATAATTTTTTACTCAAAGTCCCAAAGGTAGAGAAAGAGGATCTAAAAAACACGCCTAACAAAGGGCACATGAGCACTGTGCTCTGCTGGATAAAGCTGTGTCCCAGGGGTTCCGGTCAGCGACTCACATTACCACCTGCGTAACTGGAATCAAACAAGTGAGTGGGGGCGGGGTGGGGAGCCAGGCTGCTCAGTGTTGCCGTGGAGGTTACAGATGAGCAAGGAAAGGAGGCTGGAAGGGTCATGGAGTAGGGGTAGAGCTGGGGATCTGTATGAACTCAAGTTTCACTTAACGGAAACAGACGGTGACACACAGAAACATTCACAGGTAAGTGCATATACAGGGCTTAATATAAACACATTTTTTGCTGTCAGCTGAAAGGGCCTAAAAGACAGACACCCTGGTAGCAATGGGTATGCTCAGCTCTGAGGTCATGGTATCTAATGCCACCCTCCAACACGGGAACCAGAGCTCCTTGGAGAAGTGGCTATTCTGGAGCTAAGGCATCTTGCAGTGCCACAGAGAAGTGCTAAATAACTAACCAGTACCCGCTAAACTTTCGAGGTCTTCAAAACAAGGAATGCCAAAGTTAAAAAGAGCCTAAAAAGATGATGACTATGTAATGTGGTCCCTCAGTAGGACCCTGGAACAGATAAAGGACATTAGGTGAAATCTATGGGAGCATAAATAAAGCATGGACTTTAGTTAATGACACTGTATCAATATTGGTTAATTGTAACAAATGTGCCAGACTAACGTAAGATGTTAACGTGGGGGAAACTGGGTGTAGCTTATGGGAACGCTGTACGCTGTATGCAATTTTTCAATAAATCTAAAACTATTTTTAAAAAGTCTAGTAGAACAGTTAGTTTTCAAAAGACTTAAAACTATTACCCGAACTGTAAAAGAACAGAAAAAAGGCTGGGTAGGAAAACGGCAATGTTAAAGGGAGGGGTGGAATAGCTAGTGACCTTTCGACGATCACTGCCTGACAAGCAAAGGCTGAGCTTGCTGGCCGGGCGCTGGGGGCCAGGGCCGCGCGGTCCTGGTCCTCCGCGCGGACCCCCGACCCGTAGGCACCACCCCAGCCCGCAGGTCCCCTACGTTGAGCGCACCGCCCCCATGCCCCCACCCCGCACTCGGGGCGCGTTACTTGGTTTTTGCGGCAAATTTCTTGAGCAGGTTCTTGCCGCAGGAGACCGGCGAGCAGTGCAGGTCTCGGGCGCCGCCCAGAATCCCTGCGTGACGGGCGCCAGGCAGCGCCTGGAACCCCGCGCGGAGGGACCCTAGCCGGTGCGCCACCACGCTCATGGCCGCCAAGCAAGGGCTGAGGCGTGGCGACGCGGGGCCTGGAGGGCGGGTGGGCGGACCTGAACCGGCGGGGC